TGTGGCTCAAGTGGTAGAGCGCTAGCCTTGAGCTGAAGAGCTGAGGGACAGCACCCAGGCCCAGAGTTCAGGCCCCATGACCAGACCCCCCCCCCAAATAAAAGAAGTCAGGGCAGCAGGAGGATCCCAGCAGTTGGGTGGTAAATAGGGTGAGAAGACCGTGGACAAGACAAACAAAAGTGTGGAGTCTGAATAGAAGTCACTCCTGATACACTTAGAAAACCTAAAATCATGTAATCCCTATGGTGAGTGTTATTTCATCTCTAATTTACAGAAGTGATATACAGAGAGGTAGATAATTCCTACAGGATCATATGAGTGGGAAAGTGGCTGTAGCAGACTCCAGCTCAGGTTCTCTGCAGGGTCAGAGCATCTGGCACCTCTTCTGGATCTTCAGAAGTGCTCTATGACTTCGTGAAAGAATTCACAAAGCTAATATTACCCCCTCCCCACCTAGTCCAGCATCATTTGTCAAGAGACCGTGGGATACCTACCACGATGGGTGACAACTTGGACTCTAGGGGTACATACAGAGCAGAGTGCTGACAGAAAGAGGAAGGAAGAGTTGGGCAGGTAATTATTACTTCTGCTAGAGGACTGAAGTTCTGAGAGGTTAACCCAGTTGTTACAGAACTAAGTTGATCACCAGTTCATTTCATCCACACCACCATGTTTCATAGTCTTCATTTTCTCTATGAAGCAATTATACCACTTTCTAGTCAGATGCATGGCAGGCATCTATAATAGATATTCATCATATAACATGCAATGCCTACCTGTATGGAATTCTGCTTGAATTCAAGTGGTCTTTCACATTGCTGACATCAGACTCATTCACAAAAAAATGCACTTCTTTTTTCCGCTCAATAAAGTCAGCTGTAACTGGCTGCCAGAGAACAATCTATAGTGGCAGGGAGAAAAAAAATGGATAAAATAAAAACGGAGCTGCCTTCATAATTCTCATCTATAGCTAGAGTCATAATTTGTCTGTAAAAGGGACACAAAAAGGCCATTTTTCATATATGATTGGTCCCCATCCTTGCATGTGAAAATATCAACTTCAATTTGTGGGGGACTCTTTTTGTTCTTTTATGTAACTCTAGCTGGTAAAGAAGATCTACAGCAAACAGGATACTCAAATATTTGATGAGACAATGAATGAATGAATGAATTTATGGATGTATATGTCAGATGTTTAAAAGAAAACATTTTTGTCTAGAAAGAGAGTTGATTAAACATTGATTTTATTTCATAAAATTGCATGTGCTTGATATGAGCAAGTCAGCACTCCTTTCCTTTTTAATTATGGCCTTTGGGCAATGTCTTTCAATAATGTTTACATTTGTCCCATTTTACTATACTTTTCCAAAGCACTTTCACACTAATTTGCTTTCATCATTATAATACTACTTTTGACATCAGCCAGGCAGATGTTGTTATTTTCGTTGTTCAGATGAAGAATTAAGCTAATTTGTCTAAAATCATATATCAAGTAGCAGCAGAGGAAACATGCTAAATTCCTGATGTTTTCTGTAGTGGTATTTCCTCCTTCTGCTAAGATGGCCTCCAATGCTGGCCTGGCAGGTCACTGAATCTGTCTTTTCAGATAAAAGACTCAAGTCATGAGAGATTAACCCACTCAGCTCTTCTGCTGCCAGGAGCAGAGATAACCAGGGCTTCCAGTGGTCAATGCTGGCAGGGCACGGTATGCTGAGTTGGCTGGCCAGGGCTGTAGCCAGCACTTGCACTGTGAATGTATTTGCCCAGTTTGATTTCTCCCAGTTACAGGGTTCTTAGCACAGGGGATTTAGCACTGCCTGTTATCTCCAGATCCCTTTTGATTGCCAGAAAACACTCTCCTTATTACTTTGTGCTCTAATCTGTTCTGTTTCTCAGAGATCACTAACAAACACAAATCCATCAATTTTCTACCATGGTCACTTTCTAACTCCTAACAATGTTCTATACCTTAACATATTAACAAGATGGATTTCAGGTATGGAAAATTTAATCATTGTTACCTTGTGGTTTTGGTGTTTATTCCTTTGTTAAGATTCCACTGTTGTTCGTTGTTGTTTATCTGTTTTTTTATGTTAGTTTTAGGACTTGAACTCGCGTTGCTATCCTTTAACTTTTCTGTTCTGGCATTCTACCACTTGAGCCACAGCTCCATTTCTGGCCTTTTGGTGATCAATTGGAGATAGGAATCTCATGAACTTTTCTTGCCTAGACTGCCTTTGAACCATGATCCTCAGATCCTAGGATTACAGGCATGAGCCACCAGTACCCAACTCAAGATCTACTGATTTGTAAGCAAAATTCAATTGAAACTTTGCTACTCTAGCAGCCTTGTAAGGACATGCTGCATAACCACAAAGTACTGTTAGGAAATTACAGCACAAAGGAAGGTTTGATCCCAGGAAGCAACAGCTCTATGGCTGTGGGAATAAGGAAAACCTTTGAAAAGGGGGTTCTTGACAGGCCTCAACGACTCTCGTCTATAATCCTACCTACTCAGGAGGCTGAGATCTGAGGATCATGGTTTGAACCAACCCAGGAAGAAAAGTCCCCAGGAGGCTCTTATCTCCAATTAAGCACTCAAAAACTGGAAGTGGTACTGTGGCTCAAGTGGTAGAGCACTAGCCTTGAGCACAAAGAGGCTCAAGGACAGTGCCCAGGTCCCAAGTTCAAGCCACATAACTGACACAAAAAGAAAAAGGAAAAGGGGTTCCTTCCAGATACATATAAGACATCCAGCATGTAAGAAAGGACAGTGTTCATACAAAATACAACCAACATGAACATAAAGCAAAGAGAAATTACCTCATAGATTGCAGTAAGATTCTTCAGAACTTGAACTTGCCTAGTGGTTCTAGGAAGAGCAGATAAAACCTGGCCACTAGGAAAAAGATAAAACAGATTTTAGTAAAACAAAAATATGAAAAAAATCCATACATATATTATACCGAAGGGCTTTTCAGATAATTGTAAGAAGGAAACAAGTGTAAAATGTTAGGCCTGGGCATGGTTGTTTAGACCTGTAATCCCAATTAGTTGGGAATGTGAGATAGAAGGGTTGAGATTCAAGATCAGCCAGTCAAAAAAGTTAATGAGATCTTATCTCAAAAAAAAGAAAGAAATGGGGTTGGGAAGGTAGCTCAGTGGTAGAGTGCTTGCCTCACAGCATGCACGAGACCTTGGGTTCGATTCCTCAGCACCACATAAGCAGAAAAAGTGGAAGTGGCACTGTGGCTCAAGAGGTAGGGGGCTAGCCTTGAGCTGAAGAGCTGAGGGACAGTGCCCAGACCCAGAGTTCAAGCCCCACGACCAACTAACTAACTAAATAAATAAATAAACTAATGCAAAAAGATTTGGATTGTGGCTTAAGTGATTGAAAGCCTGCCTAGCAAGAGGGGAGCTCTAAGTTCAAACTCTACAATGGCTACCTTCTCCCCCGCCGCCCCCCCCAAAATGCTAGACACTGGACCACTATAGCAGTATAAGTCTTCCTTTTTTTTCTTTCTGTTCCTCAGCAATTGCAGAATCAAAAGCTCTTTTTGAGTGAGGATGTATGTGTGTGTGTGTGTGTGTGTGTGTGTGTGTGTGTGTGGTGTGTGTGTACAAAATCTGACTCAGGGAAGAGGGAATAAAAGGAATCACCTGAGCAGCCTAAATGGACAGCAGGTTTCTGGCCCCATTGTCCTGCTGCTTGCTTTGAGTGGTCTTTATTTTCACTTTGCAATAAAGCTTTCCTTGTTTGACTTTTTGTGATTCCTGACTCTATTTCTGTAACTTCACCAGAGAACCAGAATCCATGGCTTGTGCATCAGCAAGAGCACAAACAGAGCAAAATGGAAGGCCCTGAGTTCAAACTCCAGAGAAGGAGAGGGAGAGAGGAAGAGAGAAAGGGAGGAGAGAGGAGAGAGAGTAAGTTAAGTATGAATGTCCAGGATATAATGGCAGAAGACCCAAGAGCATGCTGGGAAGATGCCAACTTGCTCATTGTTGCCAAGTACAGGATCTGGGTGTTCAGAGATGAGAAGAATATGGATAAGCAGAAATGAATTTGGCAAGTTATGTTAGCCTCTCCTAGATAAAGTTGAGAATTCACGCTAAGAAATTTGGAGTACATACAAAATTAAGAACTAGTAGAGTAACATCATCGATGGAAGAACCATGATTAAAGGATTCCAAACCGTGGAAGCAAGCCTATAGAGACTGGATTATGGAAGAGGGAGGAAGTAGCTCATAAAAAACCATATCCTGGGGAATTTTATGCCAGTCCCACTAGACAGCATAAACGTTTCAACCACTGCTTAAGGACATATGTTGAAACTTATGGATTATAACATTATTCAGTAAACAGTAACAGGAAAGCTAGGTGAAGGCTTGTCAGTAAGAGAGCTGTTAAATCTGGGGTAGTGTCTTCACATCCCAGTATGTTTCACAGTCATAAAGAATGAAGTTGATTTATGGAAGTTCTCTAAGGGCAATTTTCATGATGTATTAAGGGAGTGAAGCAAGATGTGTCAAACTGTGAAATATGATCCTATTCTTGGAAAAATATTAAGAAAAAGAAAAGCTACTTTGTGTTAAGAGTAGGAGAAGGTTATGAATAAAGAACACATTGTTAACACTGATTTGGAAGATGGAAATTGTAATTGAAGGTGAAAGGAGGAGGGAGTCAATATGATTTTATTTTCAGTATTGACAACCAGCCCAGGGCCTTGCGCATATATAGCATTATTTTCTCTTTCTCTCTTTATTTCACTTTCTCTCTTTTTCCCTCCCTCTCTCTTTCTTTCTTTTCCTTCCTTCCTTCCCCCTTTCTTTTCTAATTTACTTAGTTCAAGCCATTGCTTTCTTGAAGCTTCTAAAAATCATCCAGTCAGCATGTTAGTACCATCTCCCAAGGATCAAACTGGAATGTTAAATGTTTTAGCATGGCCAAATTCACCTCATCATTAGGGTGTAGTCACTTGTATTAATTCACATGTCTAGCACAGCCAGGCTTTGTTTCAACTTTCGTCATTAGTTTGGAGGTCAGACGCGAAGTGGCAGTAGATTCTGAGAGGCCACAGTTGGACACACCACTAGAGAATGAGCTCCCTGACAGCATCGGGGACAATGAGACCTCTTGACCATCAGTAGGGCATAATTATTACAATGAACAGCAAGGTTGGAACCGTAGCCAGAGAGAATAATCCCCACAAAGCTGTGGACTTAAGAGAGCACAGAGTTCTCAAGGACAAGATAGATGAATAGCCAGCAAAAGTATTGCTAAATCTTTGCGATCAAAATTAAGTAAGAATGGATAAAGAGAGAGAAGCTGAGGACAGCTTTTCAAATGTCACCATTCATTGCCCAGTGTCTAGAACTGAGTCAGCACTTAGATTGAGAGTTTGTGCTGGAAGTGGTGCTCAGCTAACCACAAGAAAAATCCTATAGCAGTATGAAAAACATACAAATGGATCATGACTCCTGGAGCCCTTTCTTAGAAACCTGTGGCAATTTACTCCAGCAACTGCACACTGAGGAAGAGAATACTGCACACATTTTGAGCTCTGTTGGATGCAGGGATTAAATGGATGTTGATATATTGGGTATCTAGAGCCCAGGAGTAAGTCTAGCTCCGAGTAGGTGCATTGGGTCCACATATCCTTCCATGATTATTTCTCTGGAGCCCAAGTGTATACTTGTAATATATAGTTGGTAGTTGGCCAAACTTCTACATTAGTTCCTTATTTGTAAGGCATAAAGTTATCATAGTTGGAAAACAAAATCTAAAGATATACTTTGTGCAGGGGAAGGGAAAAAACAAATTGTTTAAATAGGGATACAGGTGGACCCATTGCAACAATGAGATGTACAAGACGTTATGTCGAAAACAAACTTTACAACTTTGGCTGGGGGTGGGGGGAGGGGGATGCGGGGCGGTGTGGGGGGGAAGATGGGAAGGGATGGGAAGGGGAAACAAAGGAGGAGGCAACAATGCTTGATAAGAAATGTACTCATTAGCTTGCACATGTAATTGTAACCCCTCTGTACGGTATTCTCACAATAAAAAAAAAAAAAGAAATCTCTGATTGGATAGGAACCCCTATCCAATCCACACTTAATTCACCAGCTCACCTGTCATCAATTGCTGTCACTGTCCTCAATGTGTTATCTTTGCTAGGATAGGGTTTGTGATATTCAGTTGGCCATCCCCGTTAAATCAGCACCAGAAATAGTCAATATCAGCCAGCAGTAGGGACTCACACATATAGTTCTAGATACTCAGGAGGCTGAGTATCCAAGCCAGCCCAGGTAGGAAAGTTCACGAGATTCTTATCTCTAATTAACTACCAAAAGGTTGAAAGTGGAACTCCGGCTCAAATGGTACAGCACTATCCTTAAGCACAAAACTCACGGACAGCCTCCATACCTAGAGTTCAAGCCCAAGGATTGGCACCAGAAAGCAAGAAATCAAGAAAGAAGGAAAGGAAGGAAGAAAGAAAGAGAGAGAGAGAGAGAAAGAAAGAAAGAAAGAGGGGAAAGGAAGAAAGAAAGAGAGGAAAGGAAGAGGGAAAGGAAGGAAGGAAGGAGAAAGAAAGAAAGAGAAAGAAAGAAAGAGAAAGAACAAAAGAAAGAAAAGAAATAGTCAATATCCACTTAGGAGCTAGGTGCTGGTGCTCATGCCTGTAATCCTAGCTACTCAGTAGGCTGAAATCTAAGGATTGTGATTTGAAGTAAGCCTGGGCAGGAAGGTCCATGAAATTCTTATCTCCAATCAAGCACCAGAAAGCCAGAAGTGGAGCTGTGGCTAACCTTGAACAAAAGAGCTGAGGGACAGCACCCAGGTCCTGAGTTCAAATTCAATGACTGACTGACTGTGTGTGTGTGTGTGTGTGTGTGTGTGTGTGTGTGTGTGTGTGTATACATGGAACTATTTCCATCCATATATTTACACACACACACACACACACACACACATGGTCAAGTGTATACTTAGAGTTTTGCTTCAGCATAATACTTTCCCACACTCTCCCATGTAACTCTCTAGAAGGACTTAGCCTATGTGGGTATGCTAGTATATGCCAGTCCACTGTATGCCATAATGTTACTCATGGGTCTAATGATGAAACCAAGTACACTGGAGGCCTCTATAAGATGCATGTGCTCCAAAGGGTGGGAAATATATACTATAAAAATTGAGAGTGTCATTTTAGGGAAAACTTAAGGATCAAGTGATCTGGGGGTAAACTGAATCAGCCTTTCCAAACTAAAAGAAAAAAAAGATTACATCTTTTAGTTACATGACAAAGAAAAGAGAACAGCTCTTTGGTAGAACTCTGGGATTTTGAATATACCTTCCATATCCTTACATATGCCTTTAATCCATGCATTGGGTGACATATAAGGCCACTCTTTTGTGAGATGACCAAAACAGACAGTAAATGGTTCAGGAAGTACTAACAAGGCCATTGACAGAGCAGTTAGAATTAGAGGTATCTGTAGGGTGAATACATCATACCTTGAGGAACCAATCAACTTCTATGGGCATAATGACTTCACCTCATCTCTTCTACTCTAGATATTATTATCTTACTACCCCTGCCTGCTAGCATCACCATAGACGATCATAGAGCATTTCATCCACTGATATATGATCTCTTATTGAATAGGATTAAGAGATTTACTTCACAACAAAAGAATTGCAAATGTTGGCACATTATCATGGGATCCACTGGACCTACCATGTACCACACCACCCAGAAGCCAGAAACTTAAAATAGTATTAGAATGCCATGTCAAAGGATTAGCAGAGCTGCTAACTTAGAAAAGGGCAATGTCTTGTCAAACACAGCACATCATGAGATGCTATGTTCCTACAGAGAGAATGCAATAACTAAGTTG